TGCTTTAAAAGGAGTTTGGCTTTTTTTTTTTTTTGTTTGGTCTCCTGGGGAAAGATGGACCAGGGTAGGGGTGGCACCTCCATGGGTTTGAAAATTAAGAAAGCACAAGAAAAAAAAAAAAAATTCCTGCAAAGAAAAGCAGCCTGACTGTGTTTGCTTCTTATTCTGGAGAGTTTTGGGGTGGTTTTCTAAATTTAGAAAGTTAAAAAGAAATAATTTTTTTATAAAGTTTAGAATCCTTTGGTCTTAAAGTTTGGGAGCCTGGATTCCAGTTGCTGGGTGGGCAGTGCTGTGCTGAGCTTGGCACAGGTTTTGGGGGGCCCCAAGATGCCTCTTCATCCCCTGCCAAGGGGAAATGAAATGAAATTAAATCAAAAATACCAGGGAAAGGGGTGAGGGGGAGAATTTACCTGTGAGCAATTCCTGGGGACGTCTCCCATCGTAGGAAGAGGAGCTGGGGATGGAGCACAAGGCTCTGCTGGGTTTGGGGGTGCTGTGGGTGCAGGTCCTGGTTGGAAAGGCCATAAATTCCATATCCTGGAAGTGATATAACTTCCCTAAATTTTTCATTAATGGCAGCCAGTGGCTGGGTTTCCCTTCACAGACTTTTCAGTTTGATCTTTAAACCACCAAAGCTTTGAGTTGCCCTGAGGAGCTTCAGCAAACAAAGCCTGAGGGAGATGAAGATTGGCCATCTAAAATTTATGGCCTTTCAGCGACGTGTTGGAGTCACCAGAAGATACAGAGAGGATTAATAAGACACATGAGACAGAGACTCTCTAAGGGAGAACGATAAGAGAACCAAAAGAATGAGGACCAAATTAGCCAGTAAATGATACAATTCTAATTAATTAGGAGAACTGTGTAACTTGGAGCCAACGAACGGTAATTTCTTTGTTTGCTAAAATGTATAAATACACAAAAAGTCCTGAGAGGGGCACGTGGCTGGAATGATTCTCTGGCCAGAATAAAGCAATGCCTGGCTCGCCAAACACTTCAAAGGTGGGCTTGGAGGGTTTAATTTCTTCTGGATGCTGTTTGGTGTCACTGGGGCTGTGGGTGGGGCTGCCGTGACTAAGCAGAGTGCCCTCCCCATCACCCAGCACCAGCAAAACCAGCCACTCTGAGTCACTGCCAGTCGATAGCTCATAAAAATATTCATAAAGGGGAGGAAAAGCCCGGCCTGATGCCAGCAGGGATGGGGAGGGGAGCAGGGAGGGCTCTGCCTCACCCGCTCCCCTGCCTGGCACCCCAGGGGTGCCCTCACCCTCCTCACTCACGAGTCAGGCAGCTTGAGGTGGTCAGATGGATTGTGGTGTCTGTAGGCTGGGTTTGTGTGATGAGAAGTGATGGATTTTTGCCCCTGGAATTGCAAAGGTTTCTGATCAGAACGTGCAGAGCTGCCGGGCACGCCGGGACCCCCTCGGAGGCCTCGCACGTCAGGACCGTTTAACTACGGGCTAATTATAATAACACAGCTCAATATTGTGTAATTAAACATTGCAGTGAGAACAATGGGCTCTAATTGAAGGGGAGAGGTGGAAAACCCCCAGAGAAATCTGCTCTCCGAGTGTAAGGTCCCCAAAATTAGTTGTTTCCCTGCGTGTTTTGGGTGGCACGTGGGGACACCTGATGGGGGTCCTGCATATTAAACACAGTCCCAGGTAACCCCCAGCACCTTTGGGTGATGTCTTTGCCTTTCTGTGCGAATTGAATATCCACAGTTAATGCCCCAGCACATTTCCACAGGGAAGGGTGAGCTGGGAAAGGGGGGTCTCTTTTAACAGACATTCCTGCAATGGTGGTGGGCTCAGTGGCTGCCCCACGGATGGGGGGGCTAAAGGGCCACTCCAGCCACTCTGCTGACCCCGTTTGACTGGTGGCAGTGGATTGTTGGAGCCACTTCATCCTAAAGCTGCACCAATTTTCATGGGAATATTTTACCCCAAGGCCGAGCTGCTCCTTCCCTCCCTGAGGGCTCCTTACCAAGGAGGGCACAGCCTGGCTGCCCCAGGTGGCTGCAGCTCTGACTGTGCTTTATTTTGAGATATTTCTCTCCCTTTAGTGCAGTGCCAGCATCTGCTCTGGGTTTTGCTCTGGAGCAGCCAGGACTCATTTGCCCATGGCAATGACCTGCATGGGGGGGATTGCTTTTCCTGGGGGCTCTAGAAAAGCACCTAAAGGCACCCAAAAGACAGCTTAGGAAGGCATCCACAAGGCACTATCCATTGCCCTGAGCTGACCTGGGCCAGCAAAGCCACTCCGTTATCCTGAAATACTGGAGCTTATCTGGCTTCTCTTTATAGACTCCATCTCCCCCTTTGTCCCTCAGCACTGACCTCCCTCCCCAA